AAAGCAATAAACGTACCACGATAGGATCTTGGCGGGTCGCGGTCACGGCTATCCGTTTTCGAAGAAGAGCTCTGCTGGCGCGTCGGTGGCGGATGGGCTTCAAGCGGCGCTTCCGGCTGCACGACTCGCTTGGCCTTGACTTCTTCTTGCTGCGCTCGTCGCTGCTGAGCGAACACCTTCACCACGGTCGCCTTCGGATTCTAAATGGAAGGTATAGTTTAAGTGTTTGTTTCCAGTTATAAAGCTTTGTTTAAAGGGATAGGGGCGGCATAAGTCAATCGATTACGCGCGGGAAAGAAAATGTCTCTGCGCCTCTCCCCTGGGCGCCCTCTCTCCCCGGGGGGCTTTCCGCCCCTTCGGGCCAAGGGAGAGAATGCCGTCCTCCTCTTTATTTAAGAGATAAGGACGGCATCTGTTGAACTCCCTTTGTGAGGGTTTAAATTTTTTTGGCGGAAATAGCCAACAAGGCAGAGGGCGCGCCGAGGGGAGAGGCGCAAAGCTATTTTCTTTCGCGTGCGTAATCGATTGACTTATGCCGTCATTATCCCTTTAAAACCAAAGTTTGGGAGCTGTAGAAAAGCACCTCATCCCAGGAGAGGCTTGATTGCGAGTGCGACGACTGCGTGTTTCTCGTCTGAAGCTGATTTCCAGAAATCTAAAAAATAGTACCTGCTCCAGATCAGGCAGCAAGTTTTGCGCTCGCTCTTGTTCATTCACCTTCCAGACAGGCAGTGATGAAACCCTAAACAAACGTCTTTGACGAAGCAAAATACGTACGGGTTGAAGTGGTGGCTTTCGTGGTCGACCTCCAGGCACGTCCGGATCGTCTTCAACAAGTCCTGAAAACAAAAAATATATAAAAAATTCAGAATGGTATTGAAAATCTTCTCTGGCCTTTTATTGTTAATTTTTACATCTGTTGCCAAAAAGTCCAAAATTTACATATTGCTTTATATTTGTCTTACATCGTATTTACGAGTGTAGAGCAGCTTCGGCTGTTCCATCACCTTCAGGAAGTAATCCATGATCCGGAATCGAAGTTGAACGACGCGCCGGAGGTGCTGAACGCCCAAAAATAAGTCAATAAAAACACCAAAGCTCACCGCTCGCCTGCCCTTTGCCCCGAACCAATCGTCGAGCTCAAGGATGGACAGCGCCGGGTAGATTGCCGCCTCTTGTTCCTCATCACTGCCCAGTTCCTCGACGTCATGCTCGGCGTCTGAATTCAATTATGACGCGGGTTCTTTGGCATTAGCGGGGGAAAGGAGTTTCATCAGGTCCAAGACTGCACAAGAATGTTTTTTTATGAACAATCTATCTTTTACGGCTAACGGCTAAATACCACTATTCACATCAGACAAATTCGACGTTAAAGAAAAGATCCATCCTCCCGATAATGCAAAAGCACCCAAACAAAACGCACCAATTTTGAAATAGTCAAACGTGGCCTTTTTTCAGGCGCATTGTTCCAGAGAAGAGCAGCATGGCGAGTGGCGGCACGACAGTCACCGTTCGCAACTAATACAAAATGATATATTTGAATCTTCATTCCTCACCGTCAATGATTGTCCCTCCATGCGGGAGAGCTCTTGGAAGACGACGTATTCGATGTGGGGCTCTTCCTTGGGTTCGCCGTTGCGCTGATTGTCCGTGTTCCGATTCATCAACTAAAGAAAAAGAGATCATATACTAGATGGTTCGTCAAAAACTGGACTGGACTGTTAGCCAATTTTTATGAGTTTCTTATATTTAAACATTTTGTAAAAGCTATAAAATGGTTTAGATGTTCCTATGGGACCGTACTGGGAACACAAATTTTCAAATTTTCAAATTTTAAAAATGAGATTTTTAATCAATTAACAAAATCAATTTTTCCAATTAAAAATATGAAGTAGAGCTGAAAACGTTGTATACCTGACGTCGAATGCACGACGACGTGTGCAGGCCGCAATTCTGATCGACGGTAGTGCGTATCTTCTTCAGGCGGTTGCCGATACGGACGTAACCGACACCCGGATAGCAGCCCGCCACGATAGCAGCCCTCACCATCGGCCAGGAGCCGCTGAAAATGAACGCGTCTGGCCGGAAATTTCAAAAAATTCCTTTTATCTCGAAAAAATCTCCAGATCTCCAAAAAACGTGTTTTTTCTAAACTAAAATTTCATATTCCCAAAAAAAGGTTAAAATACCGGGGTTAGGTTTTGCGCTTTTGCGCAGACATCTGAACCCCCAAAACCAGATTTAGTTGCTCAAAAATTATCAATTCTCCCTATGGTAAAGTACCGCCCTTTTTGAGTGATAAAAAAATAACATATAGGTGGACATATGATAATAAAAAAAAAATAATAACCTGTGCAGATTCATCTCGGTCTCGTCACAATTCGTCTGGATGATGCCCGTCCGGCGCAGCTCCTCCGAAAGTTGCCGTCTAAAAAACTAATTAAAAAAATCAAATTTTCCCACTTGATTCCCTCGATCATCTTCATCGCGTTCATCTGGATGTAGTTCTTTTGGGCCCAAATCGAAAGCGGTGAATGTCCCTTCTTTTTCTGCTCGGTGTATTCGATGTATGTGCGGATGAACATCAGATGATCCGAGAGATCGCGGCGGCCGAAACCCTCCTTCATCCTGCTGAATCCTTCTCGATCGTCCATGTGGGGATGATGACTAAAATGTGAGAGATCAAAATGAATGAAACGGGTTCTTTGACAATATCGGGGGATTGATCGTTGCCTTAAATCCAGAAAAGCCTAGAAATTATCTTAAAGGGAGCAAGAAAGCGCGGATAAATTAAGCATTAACCTGGTTTTTATTGCATGGACACTTCTGGTTGGCAACCTGCCAATTATAGTTTGTAATAAAAATTAAATAAATTTCACGTGGAAAAACTAAGCACACAACCCCGAAAATTATTAAATTTAATTTACTTACAAAACTTTTCAAATAAACTACAATTTATTTAAAAAGATTATATTTTGCATTCTGGACTCGTGTTTTCAAGAAGTCAAACTATATTTAGTGAGAAAAACCGAAATTAGGCGAAAATCGGCCATCTCTGTCGCCAGATTCTAATTCTTTTACATTTAATAATTTTTAAATATAAATCATTAAAACTTCCACGCTCCCTATATTAGGAAGATGGATACTAAAGGAAAACAATTGGTCCCCCGATAATGCGAAAGCTCCACGATACGACGTACATGGATCGCGATGGCTCAATATAGAGACGAGGCTGATGATCGGGTCCAGACATTTCAACGCCACGCCAAACAGCAGAAGCCTGGCCAGTTGTGGCTCCAGGGGCAACAACGCTGAAAAAAAGATTCAGTAAAACTGAGGGACAAATACCAATAGTCCTCCCCAGTGGCGTCAGCATTGGCTCGCGAGACTTCATCGACAAAAAACCGAGCGTGTTGTAGAATCCGGGCTTTTGACTAGAACAGAAACAGTTCGAATCCCCATCGAGCTCCAGAAACTCACAAGTTCTGCTGCATCTGGTAGAAGCTCAATCGCTCGGGTCGAGGATCGATCTCATCATTATTCGCCGCTTGATCGTAGAGGGCACCCAGTTGCTAAAAAGGGGAAAATTGTTCAAAAAGCTTAAACTCGAAAGCCGCCCCGGTACCTTAGTGGAGGGATCATTAGCCTAATTTCCATAGCAGTGCTGTCCTAGGTATTATCGTGTTTTAGTAGTCTCCGGTAGCTAAAAGCTTCAAAAAATACAAGCAAAACAAAAATTACGGTAAAAGGGTACAAAACAATACTCTTTATACCTAAAAATTGACCCCCTTCCCGCTAAAGAACCAGAACCATGCTAAGACACTTGTGATACCTCCAAGAAGCTGATGCTGCTCTCAACAGACTCGGCCCGCGGTGGTTCGGGCGCCTGGCGGATGAATTCCCGAACGCTCACTTGGTCGCCGGCAAACATCTTTGCATGTAAGACGACTTCCTAAAAGGATATTTTTCTAAAACTGATTATTCCAGACATATATTGCGACACGTTGCAGCTCGGCGGCTTGTGATGGGAGGAAGCGTCGTATTCGGCCAATGAGTACAGGCGGAAGCAGAATCCATTGCGGCATCGACCGGCACGGCCTGAAAGCGTTTTGAGGATTCTTGAAATGCGTGTACCACTGCGCTGCTCGGCATTGCTTCTGGCAATCCATTGGACTTTCAGCTGAGAAATGCGCGAGTCGTGCTCGTAGGTTTTCTCTTTTACCTAAAAACGAAGCTTTAATAATGGATAAAAATATAGCAACCTTTCCACAATCAATGACGAAGACGACGTCATCAATCGTCAACGATGCCTCAGAAATATTGGTAGAAAGGATCTGAAAAAGAGTGGTGGATTCTGTATTGATATCAAAATTTGAATGTCGAAAAGTCAGTGTTGAAATTTGTCTCTCCCTAATTTTGGGCTTTTTCTGGAAGATTTGCTCATGTAAATTTCAACACCACGATTTTCGATATTTTGAAAATAAAAGTACCAATATTTGGCTACCACTCAACATACCACTTTCCGTCCGCCATCGTGGATGCGCGAGAAAACGCGCTGCTGGTCAAAGGAATGCATTTGCGAGTGGAGGCAGTAGATGTGGAGCTTTTGACGCTAAAAAAAACAAATTACTCTAGCTGGATAAAATTGTCTATTTTCTTTGCTATTTTCGCGTTTTCTTTCATTTGATTTCCTTCTTCGCGTTTTCTATTCTCGAAATTCACATTGTCTACGTCTTTTTCGAAAGTCATATTCTCGAAAAAATTTCATTCAATTGCAAATTCTTACATCCGGTATTTTTTACTATTGGCAGTTTGCCCCCAAATTTTCTGAAACTATTCTCCAGAAAAATTGAAAAATTTAATAAATTTTAGGTAAATTCGAAAAAATTATTTTAAAGTCGGTTTTCGGAAATATGTTATTCGAAAAGTGCAGAGAAATCTTCGAACTCACAAGATTTCCGGCCATGTCCTCCAGTTTCGCTCGCATCGTGCTAATGTCATCGAAACCCGGCAGAAAAATCAGAATTGCACCTAGACCATGTATTTTGAAATAACGCCAAAAACCCGAACCGTCAATGGGGCTGTTCATCAAGAACATGACGAGTCGAACGCAAATGTCGTGGTCCACATTTTCCGAGTATTGATTTCCACCACATTGCAGATACAACTAAATGAACAAATTGTATGGCCTATTTTCAAAGTTCTCACATTGACCATTTCCTCCTCAGTAAGATCGCCCGCCTTCTTGTGCTTCTCCAGATCCTTGACCACCTCTTCGCAAAATACAGGATACGGCCGCGACAGAGCTGTCATCAGTCGATCACGGCGAAGGCGCATCTGCTCAGTCTCGTGCCGCATTTGGTCCTGATAGTTCTTTTATAAAAATTAAATAAACCACTCCATACCTCGAAGGTTCCTTGGTAGCCAGAGTTGCCCTGGTCGAGGTAGAATCTACAATTAGAAAAATAGAATAGTCATCTTTAGGTTATTTAGTATTTCCAGAGTGACTCACCCGTCTCCTGATCACGGAATTTTTGTAACAAAAATAAAGGACGTGACAACGCGGTTTTCTCCTAACCAATCCCCCAAATAAAACTACCTACCAAGTAAAATATCCAAAACAATGAAAAAATTACAAATCTACCAATATCTATTTTTCGACGGAAAATTGCGGATTTTCGGGCGAAATTTTGGCATCTTGAAACTTTCTATGTAATGCTTTGTCATTATTGGCGGGGGGAAGGGCTGGGGCCAATTTTTCTTATATAAATAGACAAAGTGTTGCCATACAATTGTTTACTATTCATAAACGTAAAAGCGTCTCAACGTTTTGATTAAAAAAAAATTTTTTTTTTTTTTTAATTTAAAAAAAAAAAGTTTTTTTTTTTTTTTTTTTTTTTAATATGTTTTTTTTTTAAAAAAAATTAAAAAAATTTTAATAAAATAATAATAATTATATAAAAAAAAAAAAAAAGGGTTTTTAAGAAAAAAAAAATTTTTTTTAGGTTTTTAATTTTAAAAAAAAAAAAAAAAGATTAAAAAATAAGTAGGGAAAAAAAAGGAAAAAAAAAGTTTTTTTAAAAAAAAAAAAAAAAATTAAGTACCTCGGTGGCTGCGGGTAAATGTTCGTGTCCTGCCAATGATACAGTCTTTGATCGAGGGCCGGAGGAGAAGTCATTGTGGCGCATGACTGAGTGTGAGTCCACGATTGATTTCCGGCATTCGGCTGGCTCCAGTTCGCACTCGCGTAATTATGCTTCAACGGCGCCTGCAGGGGTTGGCCGCTGAACGAGTCCTGCGGGGTTATGGTATCTGGAAAGTGGCAATTAGTGAAAGAAATGATTGATCACTTTTGGCCTCTGATTCGTCGTCACTCATCGCCAACTCCTCAATTTCCGGCTGTCCCATCGTGTCGGCTTCGTGGAGCATCGAGTGATGTTGGTATTGTCCGCTGAACGACTGTCCATTTCGGACGTGTGGCAGTTCCAATCTGAAATTCGGGCCTAAGAACATGGAGCAGGACGTACGCGGCAATTTGACTGGAGATCAGGTTCACTTGGGGTGACGGGGTGTTGTAGTGGCGAAGATCGGGTGCCGTCTGAAAGCCAAATAAATGAATTTCAGAGAAAAATGAAAATTACGATTTACACGGATTCACAAAAAAAATTATTTAGCCGATTTCTATTGCAGCATCTCAATTGCTTCGCCAAAAATCACCTGATTATGCGTGAGCATATCACTGAAGTTGCCATTGTGGGCATAGTGACTGGTGCCTTGATACGGGTCGTACTGGCCGATCGGGAAGTTGGAACAGCTGTTGGTCGTCCGCAGCATCGAGCCCGGATCGTTCCACACATTCGACGCGGCGCTTCCAAATGTGCTCGGGGGTGGGCAGTAGCCCGTCATCGCGATCACGTCCCCCAGAAACAGCGTCTTCACGTCGAACAGCTTCGAAGGGACTGAAAATCAGTTTTTAAATGCTTTAATGCAATTTACCGTCGATATGCGCAACTCGGAAGCACTTGAAGTATTCTTTAAACAAATCGATATTCCCCTCCATCGTCGCCGACATAAGAATTACCTGAAAAAAGATAATAGCTAAATTAGCGATACACATTCATACTTTTATCTTTGACTTCTTTTTCAGAGCTTCCCGGAGGGCAATCAGAAGGTAGTCCGTGTTTTTCTCACGTTCGTGCACTTCGTCCTATAAAAATAGTTAAAATCAAATTTTTACAGATCCGTTCAGTTTGGACTCGCAATCGAATCTAGTCGTTTAACGTAGTTTTTAGCAGATTGTCACTGAATTGAGCTAGAAAATTTCAACAAATGTTAGAAAAGACGGAATGTTAGAAAATTTGGTAATTTTGGGCGCAAAATTCAACCCAAAAATTCAGTTATGAGAATTTTTAGTCCGAAGCATAGTTCAAGACAATGCACACACAGAGACGGTATTTATAGTCCCAACAAAGGTTTTCTAGAGATACCTATCCTGGGCTGAAAAGATCTTAAAATACGCCGGTAAAAGCGCACCAAGATGATGTGGGTCGCTCCCGCACGACTCGTCATCTTTGGTCAGCATCCGCAGCAACACCCCAGCTGTGCAGTACATCAACATCGTCTTGTCAGTGACCCTAAGAGAGGATAGTTGTGGAAGGCCTTTGGAATGGTAACTACTTTTGTTCGAGCCGGATGTGGTAGCCGACGGTATCGGGCAATTTTTCGCCCCTTTCGTGGGCCACTCGCTGCGAGACGGCAATGGCGGGAAGACGTCGTGGCTGCGTGCAAATGATGCGGACGGGCTTTCCTTCTCGTTCGCACTGCTCGAGGATGAACTGTGGGACTTGCGTCGTTTTGCCGCAACCAGTACCGCCAGTGATCAACGTCACCTAAAAAAGTTATGATATGCTACTATCAGAAACGGCGAGCTTTTAAAATCTGGAGACGGAAACTCTATTTTGCGCGTGAATTTTCCAGTGTATTAATTTTAGCGTGATCGTCCTGGAAGCCGTATTTTCGGAGATGCCCATTTTATATCGTCTAAATTCCAAAACGAACCTCATTGTGGGCAATCGCTTTCAGGATGTCGTCTTGAAAACGATGAACCGGCAGTTCTTGTCGAAACCTAAAAAAGACAATAATAATCATGAATTCCGAATTTCAACGAACGCGCTGATGTGTGGAGGTGGCGTTGGTTTCTTCGGTACCAACGGATGGTGCTGCTGCGCGGCCCGTCTGGTGCGATAGCCGCCACGAAGCGCTAAAAAAAGATAGATACTCTAAGCTGCAGCTCACATTTGCTGGTGTCCAAATGCGCCTCAATTTCCTTGACCTGAATCGGCATCGTTTTCGCGAGGCCGTCAATGGCTGCCTAAAAGAGGAGTCATAAAGTTCGAGAGGTAAACCAACAATTTGCTCATCATCCAGCTGAATTTCTTGCAATTCGGTGGCAGTCGATTGCGTCTTCATGTTGGTCGAGTGGCGCTTCTTCGAGACAGTCGTGTACCGGCTCGCGCCGTGGCCGCGGCTTTCCGATACGAGGCCCTTTCGATTGGCCAGTTCGTGCAGACGTTTCCTCTCGCAGCTTGTCATTGGCTCAAATGCGCATTCTGAAAAGCCAGTGTTTAATCTCAGGCAAACGAGGATTTTATCTCAAAAAGGAGGAGGAGAATGACAAAAAGAAGAATCTCGTTGTTTTGGAGGAGTTTTATTTGAATTTTCCTCTTTTCTATGAAGCCAAACAAAAACACTCCATTTTGAGATCACATGCTCTTTTGACTGAGAGAACTGCACTATTTTTGCGATAGGGTAGTGATAATTGCAAATTTTGCGCCAGCGGCGTTTTAGTTACTGTTTTCATTTTTCAAAATGTCTCAAAAAATCGTCCCTAAAAACCAGGAAAACATCAATTTCCTGAGAGAGCAGAGAGCAATTTCCATGAAGTTGTTTTTGAAAATTTTGGGCCTGCGGCGCTTTTCACTAGTCTTCTTCCTAGTTATATCTAGCCATGCCTAGCCCCCGGAGCCAAAAAGCAAAAAGTTCGTCGCGGGTGGGTGTCGAACCCTGGTACCGAGGATTATGAGTCGTAGCTACGCCGGATTTTCATAATATTAATGACATTAGATAAAGCGCCAGTCCTCGTATAGTCTCGCGAAATTGAACGAACCTTGGTCATCGCCTCTCGCGAACGCGTCGAGGCGCCGCAGGATGCGGTCATCAAATTCCTTTTTGGGAAACGAGACGCCGGGTCCGTATTGCGGGTGCTTGAAGCCGTTCTTTTCGTCAGCTCCATCGCCTCGGCCATGAGGTGGCCACCGGTTTTTCGGGCGACTCATCTGGAAACAGAAAAAGTTGATACAAAGAATCTGCACTGGAAAATCGAGCGAAATTCGGGGAAATCTATGGCAATAAGCTGCGCGCATACAACGTATATAACAAAAGGAGATATTAGGTCTACGTATTATCTTGGCAGATTCGTAAAAAGAATAGTAAAATACTGGCTATAGATCGTAAAATTATCTCGATACTGGCGCCATAAACCTTGGCTCCTGCTCATATTATCTGCTTGATTATCATCTTAAAACTTGATATTTTTATGCAAACTATTCGAAAAGCTTTATTCTTGCTGGAAATTCGATCTTTAGCATGTCTTTCAGTCTCAATCAAAATAAGCAAAACTCGGTTAAGAAAGCGCCCGCGGATGCGCCCGAACTGGGCCATTTTGCACTTAGGGCGCAATCTGTGCAATCGGGCGCAAAAAGCGCCCATGGGCGCAACTGGGGGCGCGCCCGCGGGCCGCATTTGAATGGTAATCACTTTTCAATTCTGCGAAAAATGCCTAAGTTCCTGGATTACGTATGAATTATTATGAATATAAAATATATAAATTAGCACAAACTTTAGTAGGTTCGCTTGGTTATGGTCGTCGAATGTAGAATACGATATTTTGAAGCGTCATGGCACAGATAACGAAGGTAAAGTTTTGATAAGCAGTCAATTGTAGATTCAGATTTTTAGATTCTCGATTTATATGAGCGAACCTTTCAGACGATCATGGTCATCATTACAAATGCGAAGCGCAACGTTTCCGGTATCTTTGGGCAGAGTTTCAAAGTAAGTCGGCAAGAAGCAAGTCAAAGCAAGTACGTGCATCTTACGAAGTTTATAGGCAATTAGCTACATTTTTAGGGGCCGTCTATCGCGCAATCGAACGTATCTGTAAGTTCCAAACAAAGCTAACGCCAAGAAAGTAAAAAAAAAACATATTTCAGGTGCGCAGTACGACCAATTTCTCAGGGAACGTGAAGATCTACATTAAATATAGGGACAACATCGTCAAAAGCGATGTAGTGCCCTTTTTGAAATAATAAAAGCAATAAAAGAACCCGTCCTACGTCGTTACAAACGCGAGGGCGCAATTCCCCCGCCCCGGGTGCTTTACTAACCGAGAACGATCGTATAACGAACCTTATTTAAATTACGCTTTTGTGCAGTAATGATTCTTTGTTGGTCCGGAGCGTTGAGATATTATACCGTTTCCGACAACACGGATTATGTTCAAGGCGTATAATAGGGTTTTGAGGAAGCGGTTGAATCGTCCCTCGAACTACTGGAGTAACGCCCATCTTTAAATTACATATTTTTATGCAAACTATTCGAAAAGCTTTACATTCTTTATGAAAAAGGGGTCCCTTTGCCTTTGAAAACGGCCGGGCGGATTTGACGACCTCATTTTCCACACTCAATGGCCCCGGTCCACGATTTAGGCGACGAGCCGAGGCGGAAAGCGCCAGAACTCGAAATTACACTGGCCCTAACAAATGTTTCGATCGCGCCCTAATGCATTTTACGTTTAGCTTATCCACCCAATTCACGGTATATATTTTTACTTTCGGTTGTAGCGATGTAAAAATAGGATCTTTTTCGGGTTGAGAATCTAATGCAAGGAGTTAGCGTGCCTTTCCCCGAAAATATTCGCAATTTCTAAAAAAACGTTTTGCGTCTAGCGTGATTGCTCCAAATCCCGGCCAGATTTTCTTATTTTCGGTTGTAAAGCTGTGTAAGAGCGATCTTTTTAGATCCCCGCTAGCTAGAACGCTTGGTACTTATCAAGTTGGGGGGGGGCACTTTGGTTTTCGATTTTTTGAGTCTTTCTAGGCTAGTTTTTTGTACTGGTTTCGAATATAACAAAATCAGAGTAGTAGTATTAGAGTAGTA